TAGAGATGAGCTCCTTTTCTAATAGCAATTTTAGCTGAAAGCAAAATACTAGTATGGTTCTGAATTATGTTTCTTTTGCCAACTCTTAGTTTTCAACTATAAAAAAAAAGAATTTAGCATATTATTCCATTTTGAAGTTTTAAAGATGCTTTATAAAAGGGATATTCCCTATAAGGGAGAAAAATAAGTGTAATTCCATTCTGAATATGCTGATTAACTATTGCCATATAATTATTGCCATATGTAGTGAACTGTCAAAAAGAGTACATCCCCTTTCTTGTACTTGAGCCTCTTCTCTCTGATCATCCAAAATTTGCAGTGAGGTATATTGAACATCATGGGTTAATATGCCCTTTCTTAAAAAACTCAAGAATATTTGCACCCTGGATATTTTGTCACTAAAGATCCACAGCAAGAAATTGATGGCTCTACCTCAAAAGGTGTAATTGAAGAGTGTGTGGTAAAGAAATTATTTACAATTTGTTGGAAAGGTTACTGGAAACCAAAAGGATAGTGAAAAAGCTCTGGGGCTAAAAAGAGGGAGGAACCCATTACCACTCTGGTCTACTGGCACCTGCAGAAGCCTGAAGGTCTAGGAGTTGTGGACTAAGTCAATACAACTAGGGTCAAATTGCTGCCTAGCATGGAGGGAGAGTTATCTTGGCTTGACTCTGGTGGCTTCTGACTTCCTGCTGTGGCCTTGAAACCAACCTGAAGCCAGAGGTCAAGAGAGCCTGGTTTATGCAATTTGTAGAGGTTAGTCTCCTAGGGTACAGAATAGAGTGATGGGTTGATAGACGATCTGGAGGGCAAATAAGGAATACCCAGCATAGCTACTAACAAAAAATTAAAGAATTGAGTTTGGGCTCAAGAGCATGGGTCTCATGGAGCTTGAATCTTCCTAATTTCCCATTTCTAACAAGAGGCATCAACTTTCTTTCAGATATACAGAAGAGAAAAACTGAAGTCATCTTGACTCTTCCTTCTTCATTCCCTGAGTTAAAGATATGACCAGTTTCTTTCATATTTCCTCAAAATAGATCTCTAATAATTCATCTCTAATGCAAATTTATGCCATTTCTACTGCTGACACCTTTATGTCTTGACTTTGCTCTCTTATGTCAAATTAATTGCTTTGTGGTAACAAACTTCTAAGAGGTGGTATTTTTAAATCTCCTGCTTTGCTCAAGAACCTACTCTGGTTCTCAGCTGTCATGGACATCAAGTGCAACGTCCTCTGCCTAGTGTTCGACTTCCCACAGCATGTCCTCAACATCACCAAGAAGCCTTACTTCCTAACTATTCCTCCACATGAATCTTCTCCTTAGTCTAACGTGCTCTGCACATATGGTTCTAATTACTGTTTTGCTGATACTACGTCCTCCATTTGGGAAGATTACCCCTAGCTCGCTAAATCTTAAAACCTTAACCTCCTTTAAAAACCATTTTCTTCATATTATCTTTCGAACTAATCAGACTGCCCTTGTGGCACTCTCTTCTTAAACTTTTACTTTATATATATATATATTTTTTCAACCTACTTTGACACTCACTTGTTCAATAGTTATATACTGTTATTCTTTTATTGAGAGTAGAGTTTATTTCTTTCAAATACCTCACATCACCTGAGATAGTTCTAGAAATATTATCTGACATATGGTAGTGTCTCAATACATTATGTTTTAATCAGATGAGGTACTTGAATTGTATTTGTTTATTAGTTGTTTGTTTGGTTAGTTAGTTTACGGCAACTCTGGAAGAATTAACCAAACCCACACAAACAGTGCATACTTTTTGACTTCTAATTTCTCTTGTAGGTATTTGTCCTAAAGAATAAGTTAAGGAGAAGCTCAAAGGTTTAACTTCACGGATGTTCATGGAAATGTTATATGTAATAACAGTTACAAAAAAATCATAAACACTTTACAATAATAAAGGATGTGATAGTATGCATATTCAAGGAAGTAATGTACTATGCTATTCAGCTTTTTAAAATGATGTAGATTATTAAACTGACATAATAACAATATATGACTTAAGTTTTGAAGCAGATAATAAATATTTTGACTACTATTTTTGTAAAAATTACTGTATATGTTAATACACACTTTTACATAAATACATACCAATATGGATAGGTGCATATGGTGTTAATATTGGTTATCTATGGTGGTGGGTAAATTATAGATTTTTGTTTGTTTATGTGCATTTTCTGACAATATATACACTGCAAAATACTTAGAAGATAACTATCACAATTAACACCCTTCTTTTAGTTATAGATATTAACTGCTTTGTTTCTATACAAGGTGATCAAGTTAGTTGTTTCAATTAAATGACTTTATTTTACTTACTGAATGACTTAATGAACTAACCACAGAAAAGGTTTGGCAATTGCAGTATATCCTGCCCTAAACATTGCCTCCTGATAAGTAAACTATTATTTTTACATCACAATTTGTTTGGAAAACTGTCAAAATATAAATATAATGTCAAATTTGAAAATGAAAATGATAATTTCAGCCAGAAGTAGCTATTTCTCATCTACAAAAAAGACAACAAAGGATAGCATTACTCTGCCTTTTAATTATCAAGTGAAGTTGATTGGGATTTCATAGAGGGGAATAGCTTATGTAGAAGAGTGGCTTGAATTCAACTTATAGGACATATGTACAGTTTAAGATCCTAAATAGAGCCTGAAGACAGAATTAAATATGTCATACGTGTATACATACAAACATACATGCATGCAGAAATGAATGTTGTATCTATCTAGAAGGTTAGATGGTATGTTCTAAAACTGAGCTAAATCACACATTTAATTATTTCACAAAAGCACTTCAGGAAGTAAACGAGTAATTGAAACAACTGATTTTATTACTCTATATAAACCTCTCTATAAATGGTCTTAATTATAATGAATATTTTCAAAGTCTTAGTAATCTTTTAAATTATTTAAAAAATACCAGTAAGTAGAATGGAATCCATAGGCAAGAGGACACTAGATATGATGAGAAGTAGGAAATTTTACTTCCTGGAGGAGGAAAACAAAGGCAGTACCTCCAACACCTCACCTTGTAAGGTGCAGACAGATGGGGAGGTACCCTTCTAACCTCTAATTCCTTAGGTTTTAGTTAGGGAGTGCTATGCTTTATCACTCTAAGCCCAGAAGGAGGGACAAATATAATGACGATAATATTCTCTGCCAAACCAGGCAGAATGAAAGTTGTGTAAAATATTATTTGAGCTAAATATTGCTTAAAGCTGGGAAAATGGACAATATAATATAGTGGATAAGAATATAGGCTTTTGAATCCAGCGTGCTTGGTTTTGAATACTGGGTTTACTGTACTAACAGTATGCATTCACTCAGCAATACCCTTTTTTAAACATTAACCTTATGCCAGGTGAAGTGCTAGGCTTTGGCAGTAGCTTAGGGTAAAAAACACGCATTATGGGTTTCCCTGGTGGCGCAGTGGTTGCGAGTCCGCCTGCCGATGCAGGGGACACGGGTTCGTGCCCCGGTCCGGGAAGATCCCACATGCTGCGGAGCAGCTGGGCCCGTGAGCCATGGCCGCTGAGCCTGTGCGTCCGGAGCCTGTGCTCTGCAACGGGAGAGACCACAACAATGAGAGGCCCGCGTACCGCAAAAAAAAGAAAACAACAACAACAACAAAAAAAACACGCATTATATTTGCTCTTTTATAGTTTAATGATAGAGATAAACATTAATTAAATAATCTTACAAATAACATAATTGCATACACTAGTAAATCACTCTAAGGAAAATTCAGGAAGCTATGCAAGTATATTTTAGATGTAGTCAATCTGAAAAATTGGTATAAAACAACCAGAGAAAGAATGTAGTTCTAAGGTAAATGAGAGCATGATGCCATTTATAGAAGGGCAATTGACTAGATCATAGGAAGCATTGAAAGTGTAAGAGTGGAAAAATTAGTTTAAAGGTGTAGGTGGAGCCAGACCTCCCAGAGCTTTATTCTAAGACAAAGGAAAGCCATTGGAGATTTTCAAGCAGGAAAGTTGCAAGATCAAATTTCTGTTTCTAAAGATCACTCTGACCACCTTAAGGAAAAAGAATGGATTAAAAGATGTTCCAGTATTGAGGGGAATTTAATGAATGGGTATTTGAAACATTCCAGATAAGGAGACAACAGTCTCTTGGACTAGGGCTTGGTGGTGGTAAAGTTACAGTAGAATAAAAATAATGACTGCTACGTTTCTGGCTTTTGCAGCTGATTGCAAGATGGTGCTGAGTTAGGGAATACATAAATAGGACCTGAATTAATTGCATTTTAATTTGACTAAGTTTAGTTTAAGATGCTTTTGAGATATCCAAATGGAAACGTCAAATAAGCTCAAATAATGGAAATAATGTCAAATAATGGAAATAGATTCAGTGTAGACAACTCTTTGCTAGGGAAGGAAAAAAAAATGAAATGAGAACTGGAGTGGGAGGTGGAGTCAAAGTAACTTTTTAAATAGGATCGACTTTTAAATATGTCTCTGTGCTGATGAAAATGATGCACTAAAGAGAAGAAAATCCAACAGAAAAGAGAGGGGATAATCAAGAGAAGGCTATGGCAGCATTGGCTAACTTATTGAGTGTCTCTGCCTTGGTTTTCACAGCTATAAAATGGGGGAAAATAATACCTACCTTATAAGATTATTCTAACAAGTAATATTATGTTGGTTGAATGCTCAGTAAAAATTTTCATCACACAGAATACATTTAATAAATTGGTGCTTAAAATGAACTCAGCATCTAACACAGTGTTTTGTATATATTAGGTGCTCAACAAATATTTGTTAAATGTTGAATGAATATGATGCTGTTACATGATTTTGGACTAGATGGGAATATAAATGAGTCTGATGCATATTACTGTATCCTGGGTTACAGATGCACCTTGAATATTCACTGATGATGAAATTCAATATTTGCCATCTGATAATGATGTTTGGGACATTTGTGTTCACAGGGTACTATTTTTCTGCCTGGAAATAAAGTCCTTGAACATCCCTGCAATGAAGAGAGCCCAGGGAAATTCCTTTTTGAAGTAGTTCCAGGTAAGATAGTTTTCTGGTTTGATTCAACTATTGCCATTCCATGTTGGTAAAGGTGAAGACAGGTCAGACAGCCTCTATTTTTCTTGAGTCATGGCTAAGAACATTAATTTGACGAGGCAAGGGTCAATGTTGGTTAGTATTTACACAGATAATGATTCCAGGTTTGTACACTGGTACAAATGAACACATGTACACACATACATGTGTCCACATGACTATTGGATTTCCATTTGTCCATGAGACTCCAGAGCTGACCGGAAGTCATGACACAGCACTTGTTAGGGACTATTGGAGACAAAGGTAATTTTACAGTGCTCTTGTGGCATGAAATTTGACTAGGTGTTCCAGGTAGAATGCCTTGTCCAGCTGATTCACTGTCATATTTTCTTACAAAACTGCATCTTTTTTTTTTTTTTTTTGCGGTACGCGGGCCCCTCACTGCCGTGGCCTCTCCCGTCACGGAGCACAGGCTCCGGACACGCAGGCTCAGCGGCCATGGCTCACGGGCCCAGCCGCTCTGCGGCATGTGGGATCCTCCCGGACCGCGGCACGAACCCGTGTCCCCTGCATCAGCAGGCGGACTCTCAACGACTGCGCCACCAGGGAAGCCCCAAAACTGCATCTTTAAGGAGCCTTTGTTATAAAAACAAAACAAAACAAAAACTCTCCTTAAATAACTGACCAAGGATTGCAGTTCTGTACCTCATCTTCATTCACAACCAACCACTTCCACATGTTTGGCTGGTAGCATTGAGAATGTCTCTGCCAAGTCATCAAATCCTGCAGTTACATTTCTTCAACATCTGTTCATTTTTTTTAGTCATCTGCATCCACCCCTCTCAGAATACCTGATCTCCACTTAAGTCTTTGACTCACCCAGCAACACTCTTTTCAAGGCTGTGATCTACTTCTTTGATCAGTTCATTAGCCCTTCTTTAATACTTGGTGTAAGAAAAAGGGAGTTAGGAACCTGGTTTTCATAGCTTTGGCTCTGACTGACCCAGTTAATGTGATATTAACATTGACTTAATCACAGCCTAGGGTGAGTGTGACTTTATTTGGGTGACTAATATGTAATGCATATCAATAATGCCAGTACAAAGGCAGTCAATAAAACATTTTCCCAAGATTTATTAATGCTAAGAATCTAAAATGTGAAAGCATATTTTTTCTCCTCAATGAAAACAGCTGTAGCTCTGGGTTCATCTGGCTCACAATGGAATCCATGACTAAATGTTAATTAATGCAGCTGAAGTGCAGAAAGCTTAGTCGGATGCATTGTGTTGTTTCCCCCCAGGGAGAACATATTGTAGGAAACCTGAATCCTGTTTGCTCTATTAAAATCTTTTTATACTTACTTCTTGGTGGAATACCCTATATGGAACCAAATTCCAGATGTTTCAAAGTCTTTGAAGTATCAGTAGAGGAAATTTCTTTCACTGTTTATTCTCAGACATTAGGCCTGTGGGCTTTGAAATGAGCATGGTATTAAACTGAAAGCTTTGATTCTGTATCTTCAATAACACTAAAGGTCCACTTTCCCATGCAAGTCTACTAAATGTGTAGAGATTTCACTCTTTGGGGAAGATGTTCTGATATACTGTAGGTAGATATTGTCAAGACTGTTCTCAGAAGAGCTGTGTCTTCAAGCCCATGAAATCACAAAACCTCCCCTCCAAGGTTGCAGTTCTTGGGTATGTGTTTCGAGTGCAATGCATATGATATAATGGCTTTTAATGAGCAAAGCTTAAGGGGTTTATGACTGTATGCTGTAGAATCTGAAGATTGTCATTCCAAAACAAAATTTCTTTTTTTTCAAGTAAGTTCAGGTTGGCTGCAATAATTATGGAAATAAACATATCAATACTATGCCCATAGCTCATTTGAAAAGATGCTTTCTGAATCATTAATACAATATGTAGTAGCTTCTAAATTAGGTTTTATAATTCTGAATCATCTTATGGAGTGACAAGAGAACTGTGCCAAATGCTTCTTTAAAGAGAGAATTGGAAAAACACAATGGCTGCATTGAGAATCCAGTGTTTGAGCCATGAATCTTGGTCATCGGGGTTTTTGGTGTGTCCCTAACATTAGGATGGAATTTCCAAGCAAATGTTTCTGTATTTGTATGAGGATGTGAGGGTTGGTATCACATGATTTTAACCAATTTTTGCAAAATCAAGATTACTTAGGGCTTTTTGCACCAGAAACTCTGGTTGGAAAGGCTGGGGCAAGGCATCTGCATGTGGCACCCTGTGAGCAAGTGAAGCTAAACTAAGCACAAAGGAAAATAGGACTTTTCATTCCTGGCCCTGCTTCACCTGTATACATGGGTGAACCCGTGTTGTGCAGCAGAACTAGAAAGAAACACTCATCCTTCCAGAAGCACCAGCCATGTGGCTGACAGTGTCTTGGTGCTCTGGCCTGGTGTCAGGCCTTAGCCTCTGAAGTGGGAGAGCCAAGTTCAGGACATTGGACCACCAGAGATATCCCGGCCTCGTGTAATATCAATCAGCGAGACCTCTCACAGAGATCACCATCTCAACACTAAGACCCAGCTCCACCCAATGGCCAGCAAGCTCCAGTGCTGGATGCCCCATGCCAAACGACTAGCAAGACAGGAACACAACCCCACCCATTAGCAGAGAGGCTGCCTAAAATCATAATAAGTTCACAGACACCCCAACACACACCACACGAGTCAGCCCTGCCCACCATAAAGACAAGATCCAGCCCCACCCACCAGAACACAGGCACCAGTCCTCTCCACCAGGAAGCCTACACAACCCACTGAAACAACCTCACCCACTGGGGGCAGACACCAAACAATGGGAACTACAAACCTGCAGCCTGCGAAAAGGAGACCCCAAACACAGTAAGTTAAACAAAATGAGAAGACAGAGAAATATGCAGCAGATGAAGGAGCGAGATAAAAACCCACCAGACCAAACACATGAAGAGGAAATAGGCAGTCTACCTGAAAAATAATTCAGAGTAATGATAGTAAAGATGATCCAACATCTTGGAAACAGAATGGAGAAAATACAAGAAATATTTAACAAGGACCTAGAAGAACTAAAGAGCAAACAAAAAATGATGAATAACCCAATAAATGAAATTAAAAATTCTCTGGAAGGAGTCAATAGCAGAATAATTGAGGCAGAAAAACGGATAAGTGACCTGGAAGATAAAAGAGTGGAAATAACTACTGCAGAGCAGAATAAAGAAAAACGAATGAAAAGAATTGAGGACAGTCTCAGAGACTTCTGGAAGAACATTAAATGTACCAACATTCAAATTATAGGGGTCCCAGAAGAAGAAGAGAAAAAGAAAGGGTCTGAGAAAATATTTGAAGAGATTATAGTTCAAAACTTCCCTAACATGGGAAAGGAAATAGTCAACCAAGTCCAGGACGTGCAGAGAGTCCCATACAGAATAAATCCAAGGAGAAGAAAACTAGCAAACTATTAAATAAACTATGAAAAATTAAATACAAGAAAAAATATTAAAAGGGAAAAGCAACGAATAACATATAAGGGAATCCCCAGAAGGTTAACAGCTGATCGTTCAGCAGAAACTCTGCAAGACAGAAGGGAGTGGCAGAACATATTTAAGTGATGAAAGGCAAAAACCTACAACCAAGATTACTCTACCCAGCAAGGATCTCATTCAGATTCAAAGGAGTAATTAAAAACCTTACAGACAAGCAAAAGCTAAGAGAATTCAACACCACCAAACCAGCTTTACAACAAATGCTAAAGGAACTTCTCTAGGCAGGAAACACAAGAGAAGGAAAAGACCTACAAAAACAAACCCAAAACAATTGGAAAATGGGAATAGGAACATACATATCGATAATTAACTTAAATGTAAATGGATTAAATGCTCCAAACAAAAGACATAGACTGGCTGAATGAATACAAAAACAAGACCCATATATATGTTGTCAACAAGGACCAGCTTCAGACCTGGGGACACATACAGACTGAAAGTTATGGGACCGAAAAAGAGATTCCATGCAAATGGAAATCAAAAGAAAGCTGGAGTAGCAATTCTCATATCAGACAAAATAGACTTAAAAATAAAGACTATTACAAGACACAGAGAAGGACACTACATAATGATCAAGGGATAGATCCAAAAAGAAGATATAACAATTGTAAATATTTATGCACTCAACATAGGAGCACCTCAATACATAAGGCAAATACTAACAGCCATATGAGGGGCAATCGACAATAACACATACATAGTAGGGGACTTTAACACCCCACTTTCACCAATGGACAGATCATCCAAGATGAAAATAAATAAGGAAGCACAAGCTTTAAATGACACATTAGACAAAATGGACTTAATTGATATTTATAGGACATTCCATTCAAAAACAACAGAATATACTTGCTTCTCAAGTCCTCATGGAACATTCTCCAGGATAGATCATATCTTGGGTCACAAATCAAGCCTTGGTAAGTTTAAGAAAATTGAAATCGTATCAAGTATCTTTTCCGACCACAACGCGACGAGACTAGATATCAATTACAGGAAAAAAACTGTAAGAAATACAAACACATGGAGGCTAAACAATACACTACTATATAACCAAGAGATCACTGAAGAAATCAAAGAGGAAATCAAAAAACGCCTAGAAAAAAATGACAATGAAAACACGACGACCAGAAACCTATGGGATGCAGCAAAAGCAGTTCTAAGAGGGAAGTTTATAGCAATACAATCCTACCTTAAGAAACAAGAAACATCTCAAATAAACAACCTAACCTTACACCTAAAGCAATTAGAGAAAGAAGAACAAAAAAATCAAAAGTTAGCAAAAGGAAAGGAATCATAAAGATCAGATCAGAAATAAATGAAAAAGAAATGAAGGAAACAATAACAAAGATCAATAAAACTAAAAGCTGGTTCTTTGAGAAGATAAACAAAATTGATTAACCATTAGCCAGACTCATCAAGAAAAAATGAGAGAAGACTCTAATCAACAG